AACCACGGACCCATGAAGGAATATCATGACGTCGTGACAAGAGATCCACCATGCGTGTTACCCATGCGCTCCTTAACTCCCTCTCTCTGTATATGAGTGTGTTATCAAATTGACTTGTTTGTTGGAACCACAATATTGTGTTTCACGGGAATGGTCTTCATTAAAATTATAACGTAACGACGCTTTCATTCGTGCGAATAACGAAGCAGGTTTGCTGAAAGAAAGTCAGTCTTCAGACTCGTGTCGAATCTTTGTGGTCAAACGACTAACGGCAAGTGGCGAATTGTGCATGCTGATAAATAGTCAGATACAGGCACTGCTGAAAATATTAACGATGTGCTACAAAAAACAAGTTGCATTAAGTACGGGCGTTACTGAATGCTCGAAACAGGCTTTATATTATAGTCCATGGCATCGTCAATAAGCCGCTGAATAAAAAGTACAGCTATCATTGAAGGTACCACCGACAGACATCACCGCTACTGTCCAGCTCAAAGCAATACTCCTGTCGAGTATCGCTGTGAGTTCATTGCCAATCATAAAGTGAGTCATGCGCGCTTCTAGTTTGCACGACGGGGAAAAGTAACGTCAATGTTGACCGAATAATCTCGTTTGACCCCTTGAATTTTGAACTTGTGCTTACCTTTACCCATCTACGCCCAATTTAGCGTGTCCGCCAGTATTTGTGGCAACCCATGGCGTAGAAGAAGAATCAAAAGAATCGGAATCAGGAGCAACACTGACACTTTTGATGTGTGACTACTTTCTAGATTTGTTTCAAGAATTCGAGCCGACTTAACAACTTCGACATCTTCGAAATCTTCCTCCACATCGAAATTAAAATCCGGAGTAGCAGTGCCAGCAACATGCGTTTTTGAAAAGAAAGCCGACAGCTTTTGCGTTCGCCGTGGAAAAGCTTAAGATACAGCAGCTGCGGAATGGAAGGATGTAAAGCTTGTGTAGTAAGCACCAAGCCCCAGCAAGATCGTCACGGTCCCAGTACCATCCAAGAACGCGTCGTACAGTCCATTCGGGTACCTTATCATCGTCAAGTTTGTCCCATACCTTACAGAGAATATTCCTGGTAATAAATCTGTCAGCTTTTGGTTGAATTACCACGTTAATGAGAGCGTCAACATGACTTTCTTTCATGGCCATTAGAAACAATATGTCGGCGAACCCTAACGTACGGGAAAATTGCTCTTGCTCTTTAGCCCGATTTGACTCTAGCTCGTAAAGGCGTCCTCACGTGGGCTTGACAATAGCCATAAAGATATTTAGCATAAAAATACAAAAGACGATATTTCCCGTGTGGATAAATATGGCGCTAAAGATCCCGCCTTGCCGATTTATTAAGCCTGGATGATAAAGTCCAAAGTTGAGCTCGAAGACACGAAAAAATGCCCGTGGGAAGGTCGCCCACTCGGTAAAGTTTAAACCGTACAGCATATGACCAGCAAACGAATAACCCACAATGACTGATGAATAAATTGGAACGAAAGACATTACTTCGGGCGTCGCTCCGTTAACACTCCTCATTAGACGTCGTCCCCCCTTGGTCACTTGAAAATATTTCAGCGCCCGCGCAGTCAGCAATAATACGTTAAAAAGATTGAGGCCCATAAGTATTCGGTCCCAAATCATAAGGGGTAGTGGCTTAATATATTTGTCAAATGTCTCGAGCTCGAGCAATTCAAGGCGTGTAAGTGATTTCTGACGACAATATCGCCAAATAATGATAGTAATGTTCACTGCAATATTCGCCCAGTCTCTGATGTTATTTATTATCCCATACAAGCCATGTACTAAATTCAAGCAAACCGGGTCAGCACACAATGCCAACAGCATGTGAATCGAAATACACACTTACATTTCTCACGTTACCTCGAGCAAGGATGCATACATCCCAGATTTCGAGAAGAGCAAAGAAGACAACGTGACTGACAAAAATAGCTTCCAAAATTGTGCGAACTATGTTCTTCTTGATGGTTCAAGATTCAGCACAAGAACATCTGAAGAAGGAGTGACTCCGCCTGCGAGGTTAAAATTGATTGTCAAATGCACAATCGATAAGATACGAAGGTTGAGATTGGACAGCGCCATAGCTATAGCCACTTCATTGGTTTGACGATCCACCCGCATCAAGTGCTTTCGAAAATTCATAAATGCCAGTACAAGTTATCCGCAAAAAAAAGGCCTGGTATCCGCTGACGTCTAAATCTTCTTTAGTCGAATAAGAAAACATTTCAAGCATTTGGAGTTCCGCGATACTTGCACTGGTTCCATTAGTAACACCAAAGTGATCAAAAGATTCTATTTTAGCTGATTAACATGTTCTGTTTCGAAGCAGAGAAGTATCGCTGTAGCAATTAGTGCCTCTGTTTTCAAGATCACCGAATTTAAGTGAAGAATAAAGAATTTGCCATAAATGAAAGCCTTCAAGAACAACAGTGTGTGACGCAACTGTATACGCTTCGACCCCATCACTTCCCGAATATATCATGCGAAGAAAAGAGTTCGTGAACCAGTCCTAGAAATCATGAGCACTAGAAATGTCCCTACTCAACAGTGAAACTTCCTGCTGATGGAATTAGCAGTTCAGTTTCGACAATATATTGAACCACGGATCCTTAGCGATAGCAAGTATGAAGAAAGTGTCAATGAGTCTAGACGCTCAGTCAAATAACTAATCAACTTACGAGATGTTTCGGTTCAGTCGAATAAATGGCGACGAACATTATGAAAGCCAAAAGCTTCCGCAAAAGCAGCCAGAACTTACGCTTTTCTCTAAGACCTCGCAACAAAAAAGTCTGTGGGATGCTCATCGGTCGAGGCGTTAGCAATGCGGCGCCTGGCGACCCGAAGCTTGGCACCGCCATCATTTTGTCAAATATTGGTCAGCACCAGACCGAACGACGTCTATTCTGGAGAATAACAGTGATACCTATTTTGAAAACCTTTTCAACCCGACGAAGTGAAACCGTGGACATTGATTGCTCACGAATGATTGAAGAAAATCGGAAACCTGGTACTCTAGTCCACGTATCATATCACTTTGAAATACAGATTTGACCTTAATGTTTTGATTAGTTAATGTGGTGGTATCGCGGTACGCTTTAGCACTACAAACGAGAAGCCAGAATTTGCGTTGGAGTCCGGAGCCATGTCGTGGTGTCGAAAATAAAGGTCAAAGCAAACCGTCACTACCTGCAACTTCTCCAAGTAGTTAAGTTTATTCTTTTGGGAATAAACTTTAAGTAATGTAAAGCGAAGAGCACCACCAAAGGCAGATGAGAAAGCTCACTAGTGTCGTTATAACCGATTCCTGTTAATATTCGTAAAAAACCTGCGACAGAACACTTTTACGCGTTAAGAATAAAAGACTTAATGAAAGCTATATTTGAGATTTAAGTACTGGAGTATTCGTTCAGTTGGATTATTTGGCGACCTCATTGACGAAAGTCATCGCATTTGAAATTATTTGATAGATGGTTGTTAACTAGGATCGATGCAAGCAATGAAATAGCATCGTAGTCGAAATTTCTAAAACACATGAGTCTAGCAAAAAAAAGTCTTACTACGGATCGTGGCCCTGTTCATTCTCGCAGCCCATAAAGCGCTCATAAAGCATTGTATACCTTTAAGTTAGCATTAGTTCGAGATTCAAACCGTAACTTCTGCCAAGACTTAGGATATAGACTGCACGCCCTACCACGCTGAGCGTGCAAAGTTAAAGGCTTCCAACCAACTCCGGCGCTACATCAGACCTTGGTCCAAACACTGGCTTAAAGAACAACTTCGGCTGATCACTGACACTAAGCTGCTGTATTTCCACACTACTGAAGCTGACAATGACAAACACTAGTAACCTCCTGCCGCTTGACGAAGCTTTTCCATCCACATGTCGCGCTCTTGGATAGTCTGAGTACGCAATTTGAAGATGCGACCACTATCTGCCGCCGACGAACGTTTTTTGCTGTTCTTTTCAAACAAGCCCCTTTGCAGCTCAAACACGTGTGCCGACTTACCTGGCGTGATGTCAAAGCCTTCGCCTGCATCTCGAGATGGATCAATCTTGCAACTGTGCAAAATGTTAGCAAATTTAGTCTGATTAATTTAACAGAAGTCTACTTGCCCAGTGAGACACAGTTCCTTAATGATTTTTCCACGCTCATAATCGTCCTTTGACTTTGCGTAGATAAGATTGGAGCCAGTAAGTATGAAGTACCGCTGTTTCCAATTCTTCCGCCGGAGGGGGTTCAAAACGTTTCCACCACCGCCCTGCTTGATTAAATAACCTTGCAGCTCAGTCACTTCTTTCTCCTGTGCAGCTTCAATAACTTTTTGTTCAGGAAGTTGAACCTAAAAGAAAATGTCAAGGACAACATAGGACTTTTGCCTGAAGCGATTTTCAAACAAATTAACAAACCGATGCAAACGCAGCCTCTTCCAACAATTCCTTCTGCTTGATGGCCATGCTATGCATCTCGGTCAGATCAACAATAGCGCCAGCAAGTGCATCTTTCCGCAACTGCATCATGTCAGAGCGTATAAACGATAAATCAGACGGAATACTCTTATTCGAGCTGCACCTGTGAGCCAATATGCGCTTACCGCTTGAAGCTTCGCGACATTGACCAATTGTCGCTTAACATCTCCTTGCGCGTCCGAATTCTCCTTCTGAAACATTCTTTGCCTCGTATTGAAATTCTCGGCTTCCTTTTTCTTTTCTTCAATCATTTTTTCAATCGTCTTCGTATCCTGCTGACGAAGCTTGTCGAGACTTATTGAAAAATCTGCAAGTTGCGGTTGGATAGTTTTGTGCATGAACTTGGCAAGCTCCGCGTTCTATTTAGTAATGACAAATATCGTAACATTGACCCTACTTATCCAGGCATACTTAACATTACCTTTGCTGGTCCTAGTCCCTGATCTGCGTACTGCCCTATCAGATCAAAAAGGTATGTTTGATAGTGATGATAAAAGCGCTATGCGAAAAGATGTAGTCATAACCGAATGGCGTTAGCTACATCAACTACGCAAATTATCATAAGTGACAATCACCTTTACTTCAGTCGACTGAAACGAGTATCCTTCCCCACTATTCAGATGCGCAACAACTTTTTCCGTCATACTTCGATGAAGCGTTTTAAGCACTAATTGGCAATGCTCCAACGATATGCGATTATTTTTTTCCTGGACTGTGGCAAATATTGACCGAATCAATAAAAGAAATATTTTCTAGACATCACCATTAGTAAAAAGAAATTATTCAGGACGTTCGTGTCACACGAAACGTATGACTATTACCTGATACACATTGCTGCGTGTGACTGCTTGATAGGGCAGCAAGCGCAAATGTGCCTTAGCTTCTCGTTTTGCACGATTGTGTATTTCAATCATGACGTCGTTTTCATACGGCAGCTAAGGGACACAACAATCAGAAATGAGAAATGACTTGGAATATTATCGTCGAATACGCCTCAACCTCGATCGACGGCTGGTTATTTTGGACAGCTGATGATGCTGGCTGAAATTCCATCAGGTCAGATGTGTCGACAATGCTGCCCAGACTTTCGAACATACGGAGCTTGTAGAGTTTGACACCATTTCCAATCATGCTGTAACAGCAATTGTAAATCAAATTCTTCCATATCGGGCCCTTAAATGTCTGCCAATAAATCATGTAAAAAAATACTCTAGAGCGCAAAAAAAGCAAAGTATACCTTGTAAACATTGTCGCTATGAGCCATCATGGACACTATGATAGATCCCAGCAGCGGGCCGGTCAAAATAACACCATTTGAGTATCGATTCTGGATTGAGTCAGTCAATACTCGCATAAGCTTTTCAAGACGTTTTTTAAACAGTTCTATCCCTATTTGGGGCATAGTAAAGCACTTCTGATCCGAAAATGCCGTTTCGTAAAACTTAGTTGCCTGTGCGTACGGCGAGCCATCAGGGAGCGTAGCCAAGGCATTGCATAAATACGTCTGTTCCATTTCCTGAAGCGACAATTCACTTTTCTGAATTTGCTCCTTTAGCTCACCAGCGGAGACGTTCTGCAAAACCCACAACAGCTTTGGCTTTTGTGGAAAACCTATATTCAAAGAAGCAATGTTAAACGACTTCTTTTTCCATTATTTCTATCGCACCATAAGCAGGTGGTGTGTCGCTTTCCACGTTCGGAGCGAAGAGCGCAAATTGGCTTACAGCATCAGATGTCAGCGGGCCATCAATGTGGTGCACTACCACACTGCTCAATCCCGCGAGAATAGTATACGTCAGCGTGTCCAATTTCTACAGCAGTTTTTGCCACACATTATGTAAGTTCCAGTCTTTCTTGAGTTCTATTCGTTGCACGACCTTGTCTTCACCAAAATCCGGTCGATCCAGCACAACCAAGTACTTGGCGTTGGTATAGTTGGCATGATGAACATAAAGCCATACGCCTCTGCAGTGATATGTCATATGATCAAAGAAGTTATTATACATAGATGTAGTCTCGATAGGATGTTAATTCGCACTCAGTATCAGTCGCTTTTTCGAGCCCCAGAAGACTCTGTATTAGCGCCGTCTTGCCGCAATTCCCACGGCCATGTACGCTCACGACGAGCAAAGGCTCCGGTAACCTTTGCAAGAAATCGAGAGCCTCCTTTTTGATCTGCAAGCCGGCGATGTTGGTCTCATCCACCGTCACAGCAAGTAGCTGTCCGGAAAAAAGCAGCTTCCCCATTATTATTGTTGAGATATTGTAAAAGAACGAAACTATTTACAAAACCATGTGCGGACCGATACAGCCAAAAGACAGAAGCGACCTTTTACCCAAAAATGGAGGCGCTGCAACTACTGGATTGCGCTTATGTGAACGATCGGTACGAGAATTTGCATAAACGGCGACAACGATTAGACCAGATACATCATTTTGTCAACGAAGTCACGGACCGCAGTTCCAACTCCAAGCAATTGGACTATGACCAGGGGAAACAATGGAAAAATGCGCATCCTACAATGGCACTGGACGCCAAACGGTCAACATCATACTTGGAAAAGAAGCTTTTGGTCTTACAAAACATTCTTGACGAGTTATATGCAGAAGAAGAGGCGGATTTGAACATCACTATGCCTTCTTCTAAGGAGACATTCAAGCAACTCGATACAATGGATGCAAACACTCCTATGTCATTTGAAGAACTTCCCGCGCCAACACAGATAATACTTAAAATGTTTTTTCGAACTTGCCAGTCAATGCGTGATACCGCAAACATCGCGAGCAACTGTCGACTCTTAGTGCTAATTGCTACCAAAGTGCCATTTATTTTGAAGACGATTCCCACATGTGTACTCTCGCCCGGACTAAAAGATGAGACTCAATTAAACCAAAAATATGGTGACAATATTTGCAGTGTATTTGACCAACTGATGTGGCTATTTGAAGAGCTTTTGAGGCCGAAAAGATACGCTGAGGCTGCTGAAAACACAAATTTATCAGTCGAGGATCTAGGACATGTAATGGTCGCGTACGTGGCTTTAAGTTTAAAATTTGGACGACTCAGCTACTTACTGAAAGCGATTAAGCTGCTTCTGGAAAATGCGAATGAGCTCACTGAAGCGCGATTAGAACTTCTTCATCCATTATTTAAGGAGCTTACAGATGCTAAAATTGAGCGGCCACTAGCTACTTTCTGTGAAGATGATCGGCCTTGCGGTTATTTGATGACTTTCGGTAAAGGAGATCACGGAAAATTGGGTCATGGACAGTGTGTGCACGTCAGCTGCCAGGACGGAAATTGCACTGAGAACAAAATGGTTCCAACTTTGGTAGCAGCAACTAAGGACGTTCTCTTTAGCCGAGTTAGCTCGTTGTCGACGCACAGTATCGCAATCACTGCAGAAGGAGAAGCGATGACGTGGGGTAATGGCGACAAATATCGCCTGGGTCACGGATCCTCAACAAAAGAATACGCACCACGAACAATCGAATTTTTAAGTCAGAAAGGTAGAATACGGGACGTTTCCTGTGGTCTTGGCCATACCCTGGCTTTGATGAATTCGGGAAATTTATTCGCTTGGGGGAATGGCTCGAATGGGCGCTTGGGGCTTGGTGATACTAATGATCGCTCGAATCCGACGAGGGTCGATATTTCTAATACTTTAAGAGACATCGAGGGAAAAACGAACGTGAGTTCGCCAGTAACGTTCCGACACATTTTCTGTGGTGCATCGCACTCGCTGGGCATTTCGTGGGAAGGACGAGCGTATGCTTGGGGAAAAAATAACCAAGGGCAATGTGGTCATGGTCATACAAAAGACCAATGGACAGTTCATGAGATCGCCAGCTTTCGAAACTGCGAAGGTGGAATAAATAACGAATGTGTTACGTACGCTGCCGGTGGGTGGGAACACACCCTTTTTTGCACAGCTTCCGGTCGTGTATACTCTTGTGGCTGCGGATATAAAGATAGTCGTCGGGCTGGTGTTCCTCCCGTACTTGGGCATAGTGACTGCGATCGCAGACTTTTACCGACTCTAGTGCAGTCGCTCGATGATGCCCAAGAAGAGATTGTAAAAGTTGCTTGTGGATGGGACCATTCCCTTGCTATAGCGGCAAATGGTAAAGTTTATACATGGGGGTCTGGCACAAACGGTAAGCTTGGACACGGTAGCGAAGAAAGCTTTGACGTACCCATGCTAGTGCGTTGTTTGATTGGCAAACATGTCAAAGATGCCAAAGCTGGATGCGAACATACCGTATTTATGACAAACGACCATGAGGTATGGACTTGTGGACAGGGTGATAGTGGTCGACTCGGTCATGGCGATAATCAAATACGAAATGTTCCGACAAAAATTGAGCTTTTCGCTCAATGTGAAGTCAACCCAATAGCGTTAGCTGTCGGTGACAAATACAACTTAGTCTTGGTCCAAAAACACGATTTACACAGTGAGAATAATAATACAAAGAGGGATGTGGTTTCGATTGGTGAGCCATTACGACAAAGCTCAACCGATCATGCGCCAAGCTGTGAAGATAGTGAGTTTTGTCAGGGACGATGCTGGATGGTTGACATCAAGAAAGGCTACGCCTGTCGAAATATAGATCTCGGAGCAACTTGGGTTTTGAATTACGCTGAAAAGCTAAATCGAAATAATATATCGCCAAATACTGCATCCGTCAACAATTATTCCGCCATTAGGTGTGCTTTGCTCATTGCTGGTCATATCGATCGCCTTGCTACATGCTATAGTACGGACGAGCAAGACACCACCAAAAAGCCAAAGCACATAATGACGACAACCCCCGAAGTCGAGAAATCTAATTTAATTCCTTATGCTGTTGACACAAGCTACGAAACACTGGAAATGCTTTTTCATCTTCTTCAGTGGACTTGTCTGTCGGTAACTTCAGAAGGACAGCACACATTTGGTAATAATTGCAAAATGGATGCGCCGTGTCTTACTCTACAAGAGCAAATGAGTTTTGCTCTTTCATGCTTGCGAGTTTTACGGCTGAATCTCAAGAAATTACACGATTTGTTTTTTTTGTCTACTCAGAGAAATGAAGATACTCATTTAATAAGTATGACAGATGTGCTGGGTCGACTGTACGAGCTTCTCAACCATTTATCCAATTTAAAAGGTGAAGATTGTGTCCGTCACTTTGCCAACGGGTCAATTCCTTCGGACGATCCAGAAATTTTATATGCTACGGGGGATGCTATAAGTCACCATGCTGCATGTGCGTTAAAGGTAAGTATTTGTTTGGTAATAACAAATTCTTGTAGACTAAATACCACTTTGAGCAGATTGGGTTTGGTGTCTTCTATCCGACAGCAGCCACTCGAAGGAGACTTTTGTGGAAGATTCTAGACGATTGTGAGAAAGATGCATGCACACCTTCTATGGGAACAATTATCTTGGTGAACCAGCTTTGCACAGTAAGCTATCCTGTATTACGTTGCTTCAAATTGCCGAACTAACTTGCTGTAACCTGTGCTTCAGGATACAAACATGGTAGACTTCTTCCGGTATTTATCAGCCCCTGATCCGAAAAGCCTGTGTAATGAGCAACTAAGTCATGTCTCCAGTGAAAGGGCAAAGAAATTGGATATTAATGCCGTTAAATCTGTCATGGTCGTATTGTTAAGGCGGTGTAGTGTAGAAGCGGTAAAACAACTCGACAACATAACACGAACGGAGTTTTTGAAGGAATCAGACTGCTTTTCAAGATTACTTCATGTGCTGCAGACGCATTATTTTAGCTTTGCTTACCGATCAGCGATGCAGACTAAGGAAAAACACACATCAAGTGAACCAGGAAAGCTTCAAAGCATGGATAGCGAACAAGTGATGCCCTCTCTTCTTGACTATGTGGATGCCCTAATGGCAGAATCAATGACAGTGTTAAAGCATCTTCACAAGGTTACTCGTCAACATGAAGATGCGATCACATGGCGATTGAATGGGAGTTTTTTTCACACATTGTTGCCTAGCGCTGTTGAAAGTTTGTCGATACTGCTTTCGGAGCAAAAATACCATGCAAAAACTGATGTATCACAACCTTCTATTAATTTGAAGCTAGTCGAGCGCATTCTTCCGAATCTTTGCGCGATATTGAAACTTGTGGATGAAATAAGCTGGAAAAGTTTTGATAGAGGTGATGATAGTGATCGAACGCACATTGAAAACGCTGCACCTTCGAAGCAGTTCATATTTATGGCTCAAAAACGCAACTGGTTCGTTGATCTTGGAGATGCATGCGCACTTTTGTGTGGAAAATTAAGCTGCGAGCTTTTCTATCAGTGGAAAATCAGTGACATTGAGTCAGACGATCGTCATCAACATGACGACTACTTATCGCTTGTCATATCGGAAGGTCGAATATCACAGTTATACCAAAAAGGATTGCCCGCTACAAAGAAACATTTCTCTAGCTCAATTAGCAGTATATTGGAAGGGGAGCGGTTGGGCGGTTTCGAGGAGGAAGATGAACGTCCTACTAGTGAGGAAGGCTCTGATAGCACCGGTTCGTCATTTTCATCCGCTTATGACGATCAGCAATTTTTGCTTCGATTGTGCGATACATCTGTGTCGCTCTACAGTAAATCATTTTGGCCGTGGGCAGCAGGGATGCTTTCGCTTGATGGAGACTTTACCAATGAAGCACATCAAATTTATACGCTTGTTGTCAGCGTGTTGGCATGGCACTTAGAATTGAGCTCAGAGTTGCGTTCGATTTACAAGCTTTATGATCTTGAAGCCAGAAATGGGTCAATTAGCGGCGCTATGACGCCAAAAAGTAGAATTTGGGACTTACTATCAGTACTTCTTCGAGTTACAAAATGGAGATCGTGGGATTTTAACTTTGTCGGCATGGAGGCAGTTACTAACGCCGTTAGTGCATCACATTTTTTGATAAATTTACAGCCCAACTCAATATTCGTACCTCTAATATTTCAGTGTGGAGAACTCGAGAGCGATGACTTATCATGGAATAAAAGCGACGATACTTTCTTGAATCTGCTTAAGTTTCTGACAAGCTCACATGAAATGAGCATCATTCAACACTCACTGGAGGCGAAGGATAATGATGAAGCTCTCCTTCGAGCTGGGGTATGTTTACTGCATGACCTCCTTAGGAAGCTGGCCACCTCTTCCGTAAAAAGCTATCTGCTTGATGAATTTGTTGCTGACATATGTGGAAGCAATCGAATGAAAACTGGTTTAGGGAATCCACAATTAAGGATAAGTTTGACTCGAGGAAAAGGCAAGGATATCGATAAAGCTATTGAGAGCTTTTTTGTGCAACTTGCTCGCATAATTTCTAGTGATGACGCGTCTATTGACTTAAAGAAAAAAGCTTTGTTGATTTGGACAGTACCTATGAAAGATACAAAATGCGACGTTGAAAGCGCGATAGCATTAATAGCAAAGTCTGGAATCATGATCACTCTAACTGACAAACTGCGAAATGAGTCAAACTTGCCGGGAACACGTCGTGACGTTAATGCAGTCATTGAATGTGCAATGAATGACCATCAAAATGATGACTGGAAAAGAACCTTCCAAGTCGAGTCCAAGCTTACAACAAAGTTAATGCCGATTTGCGGTATGCTTTTTCATCAAACGCCTATGCAGATACTAAATTCGTTAACCTGGGAAGCCTTTTATGCCATTGCGCTGCAATTAAGCAAATCGCAGCCATTCGCTAAGCTTCAACCCAACTTATTCTTGCAATCAGCTAAAGCTAGCTTGCATAACAAAGAACTATTAACTCCGCTGAACACATTGATGTCTCCGCGTAGACGCTTAACGCTTCCAGAAAAGGTAGTCGTATCTAGCACTGATGACATCATTGCGCAAATGATGGATGGTCTGTATTCGATGCTAGAGTCTACTAAATTGCATATGGATAATTTGTGCATCTTTACAAATGAGTACGAAACAATGACGACGGAGGTGGGGGTGATTAGTGCAATGTCAGAGCCCTGTGCTCGGCAAAAGCTTGATCGCTCGTTATTTAATCTCCTTGGGTGCCCGCTGCAAATTTCACAGTCAAGCTCGAGCAAAATTTGTATGCAAAGAGTCATTGATGGGAAGACTTCTGAAAATATAGCTCATAAAAGTATCACCGTGTCATTTTGGGTGCATGTTGAAGTCACCGGAGTGCTAGAATCCCGAGAGATTCCTAGTGCAAATAGCACTTTGCTTTTGTCGCGCGAGTCCTCATTGCGGCTACTTACGTTTTGTACGAGCGATTTGGCGGATCCTGATACGGATAGATCTATACTTGTGTTGATTCGGCAGACTAATCATGAGCACGTGTCAATGGTACTTTCAATGAGATGTGATGGAGATACAAAAGATGACTGGCTTTCAATTTCTATCGATGAGCCAATTCCACGTGAAAAGTGGAGTCAAATTGTTTTGATCTTCGACAAAGAGAGCACAGATCATCTTCAGGTCTTCGTCGGTGCTAAACGCTCTACTCTCAATAATGGAGTCGCAGAAGATCACGACTATTTTATCTTCTGCTTAAACGTTCTTCATAAAGCAGAATTATGGGCCCAAATAATCGCAGGTGGCAACATAGGCAAAAATGAGTTTAGATACGGAGTTGATCCTGCCACGTTGTTCCGACAATCACAATTACCGAAAAGGTCGTCGCACGAACTCACTGCTATTTTGGACGACATTTTTATATCTTTTGAGACTTTTTCGGAGGAACGAATAATACGAATGCAACACAATGGTACCTTTCTCTTTCATTTAAAACGGCAGCAAGAAACACAAAGTTACTGCGCCGCGGTGTTGAGTTTATTGTGCAAGCTCAGTTGCACCAGCCCATCTTCACCCGAGGATACTTCTGCCCGGCAACCGTCCTCTGATCAATGGATTACTCTTTTAATTGATATGTTGGTGGGTTCGTGTAGCAAGCACGAGCTCCTACAGCTCTATCTTTGCCAGCTTCTTGAAAATATACTACCGCGAACTCCTCCCCGTCCAGAATTTAATCTTCGAACGCTAAGCCAGAGACTTCTCGAGATGTGTCAATTTAAAAGCTGGATTTTTGACGGGCTCTTTATAACATCAAATGAGCAAGAATTTCAGACAATGACATTACCACTTCGAAAGCAAAATGAGACACTATACCGAGCAATGCGCCAACGCGGCATGCTAACTTGTAGAGAAGATATTCTGTTTAGAAATGACACACCATTTTTCGAAACAGCGTTCAGTGCGCTAGCTCCAAAACCAAAGATTTCATTACTTTATGCTGCTGCCATTCACCTCTTTCAAAATTTATTCTACTCACCTATGTATGAGAAAATCTGTGACGAATACTTGAAAGAAAATTCCATTTCCTTCCAAAACAGTGGTGGAATTTACTCCGTTGAATCAAAAAACGATGGTATTCTCAGTTTTTCCACAGTGTCTGCTTTGACAATCATCAGCGCTGGGTATTCGGAGGACGTTGTAAATAATTATCGTGCGTGTGTACAGAATACCGCAATTCTGCCCCCCGTAACTCAAGCTTACGCATCCCGTTTCGACTCTGTGCTTCACTTTGATAAATGCAGGAGCGAACAGCTCCAAAATGTCCAAGTTATTATTGATGTGATACTTAGCGAAGACACACGAGATCGATTGCACCTTCCAGCCAGAAACGATCTTTCACTTAAATGTCACACTGAATTAAACACTATTGATCACCGTGTTGGTGCTGTAATCCATCATCGGGCTCGTGCATTTCGTGTTCTGATGACTGCTCTTATTCGTGAGAAGAACACAGCTACAGCGACCACACTTTGGCACGATTTCTTACTTGCCAACGTATTAGGAAGTGATCGTCTTCTTCAAGTTGCATCTATGAATTTAAAGGAGCATGTGATATCAAATTTAGGTCCTGACGCAAAACTCGCTGTCAGACTTCGACGAATGCGTTTGTTGTTAGAAAATGTGCTTTTTAAAAGAAGTCAAGGTCAAAGTGCTCTTTCGGTCCCATCACTCGGTGACTTGGAAAAGTTACAATGGCGTCTTCGAGAGGAATCGAATATTCAAGCTGCTTTAAATGCGCGTCTACCATGGTGGCAGCGAAATTGCAAGGACGATGAAAAACTTAGACTTGAGGTCGTTGCAGGTCAAGTTGAAATTATTGATCTCAAAATCAAAGCTTTTAAGCACTTTCCCACAGTGAAATTAAATCAAGTTAATATTTGTGCGAACAGCGGCTTATGGTACTTTGAAGTTGCTGTCTTCACGAACGGGCTGATGCAGATAGGATATGTGACCGAAGATTTCTCTGCTGACCATCTTCATGGACAAGGTGTAGGCGATTCTACAAATAGCTGGGCATTTGATGGATTTCGGTGCAAGAAATGGAATGTGCATTCTCACGATTATGGCAAAAATTGGAAGGCGAACGATGTGGTCGGAGTCTTGTTAGATACAGGACGAATGGAATTGAGTTACTTTCTCAATGGTGAGTTTTTGGAAGTCGCCTTTTCCAACATCCCAATCACTTGCACCTCACGACTATTTCCTGCGGCCTCTTTAAGCGCTCATCAATCGATCGAGTTTAATTTTGGCTCACTACAAAGTGCGACTTCATCTGAAAAGAAAACTCAGGTTGAGGCCTTTCATGGCTTCAAGCACATACCAGTCCTTAATAACGACGATCAGACACGTTTCAAACCAGTTTGTATGGCACATAATAGACACAGAGTTGATAATTGCAAAAATTTTGAGTGTCTAAAGGGTGATGCAAATGGCTCGTCAACGGTTTGGAATAATTACTACAGCGGCGAAAGGGATACTGACGAATGTGACATCACACTGGATAACCTTGATGGAACTAGAAGAGAGCTACATTTGATCGATATGAATCGTATTGACGACATTAGTTGGCAGCGACGTCGAGACTTTACAGGTCTTGGATCTTCTGATGAATGGGCAAACCGATGCGTTGTCGAAGCACACCTGCCCGATAGTGAGAATCGTGCTGCTGCGTGGATTTTGGAACAAATGGAAAAAGAGAATGGTCGGACCGTAAGGTCTGAATTTACCACCGATGATTTAATAGTCGATGCGAAGATTGTGGGAGATCTGAAATTTGTAGAGAGGTTGGTTGGTATGGAGAATCCGCTCAGTCTTGTACACCCAAGCAAAGGTCTGACTGGTTTCAAATACTATACAATTGATGACGAGTTCGCTTCGGCAGCAACTAACCTACCCATCGAATCAAATTTGAATTACCAGCAATGCGATGAAACAGCCAGCGATGCCTTTCAGACATATATTTACAAGCAGCAATTAAGCTGCCTGCATGCCTTACACAATTTAGAGACAGTAACACACACAAGAGAAGTCGACGACTTCCTTCCACTTAGTGTTGTGATCGATTCAGCGTTGTTTGTTGCATATGCTCGACAAGCCTTTACTTTACTATTACTGTCAGCTCTAATGGAAAAGTGCCGATCAGCAGCTTATAAATTAATGCAACAGCTGATCTCACGTGAAGATTCTGGTGCTCGTCTTTGCCGTTTTCTAAGAATTATAGTTGGTCTCGATACACTGGATGTAGGTGTTGAGCTGGATAATGGTTTCAAAAGCGTTCGATCAGAGCAACCTGTACAGCTTCAAACTGCCATTGTGGCTCTTCTAAATCATGAACTGTGGACTTTGTCAGGAACTCACAATCAGACAGGTAATGCATCTAATCGTTCTCCACTTTTGCGACTTCTTTGCCGAGAAATTCTGAACCAATGTGATCACGTTTTAAGCTCAGTACATAGCGGAAAAAACGGGACCGGAATCGGGGTTACTCAATCAGACGCTTTGTGGTTTGCCTGGGTATCTGATGTGGTGATTGGATTTGCGGAGGATGTTGACTTAATGACGGATTCTTTGCCTGGAGGGAATGTAGCGCCTCAATCTATAGACAATGTTGTACCTCTATTATTCTGTCAAGCCTTTGTCGACAAACTTGTGGCTATCGCCTCTAACCAGTTGACTTTAATGAAGGCGTGGAAATACGTTGCGTTTCGCTTAATAACAAGAATTTCGTTTTCGGTCAGGAAATTTGATCCTTCATTAACATTTCTTTCATCCGACCAGTTGGTAGATCTTCTGAAATTATTTACGCTGCGAAAGCGTCGTGAAATGCGCAGCAGGGTGTTTTGCTCGGATATTACGAGTGCGCTGTTTGCTCTACTGGTGCACCTATCTACTTTGATGCCGGTTCAAGATCGGCGTCCACAACTTGAAGATCGATTTTCAGGCATTTATGTGAACAAATACTCGTCAACAGAGGTGACAATATCATGGAATTCAGATTTTTCGTCAAATCTGGCCACAATAATAAATGACGCACTAATCCCTGATGATGAATCTAAAGATCCCTATGTATTTCGATTATTTCGAGGCTCGGAGTGTATTGAAACTGAAGACTCTATTATTCTGTCGAGAGAAATTTTATCTAGTGGAAATGTTGCGATCCAGAATTTGCTGCCGGATACGCAGTACTATATTCGAATTGATCTTGCTCGAGCTGCAACTGGCTGTCGTGACCTTAACGATCAGCCTAATAATGATACTGGTGTGCTGCAAAGAGCAGATATAATGGTGAAAACACCACCGGAACCGATGTTTGAGCTCGATCAAACGACTTCGGGGAAAAATTTGCTGTTCATCAATCGAAATTTAACAGCAATCAACACATGCAGCAAGAAGTGGCATTCTGTGCGTGCTTCTATTGGATTTGAGAGAGGCACCCATTCGTGGCAAGTGCGACTGGATAAATGCGTCTCGAAAAATATATTTGTCGGAGTTTGTACCATGGACGCTAGCATGGAGAATTATGTTGGTAGTGACGCGTATGGCTATGGCTTCCTTGCAAACAAGGCAATTTGGCACAACAAGGCCAAATTGCAATCGTACGGTGACATTTTCAAGCAAGGAGATATCATACAAGTCACGCTGAATTGCGATGCTAACACGCTCGCTTTTAAACGCAATGATCAGTGTCTTGGAATTGCGGTCTCAAATATGCGTAGAGGAACAAATGGATCAGATAGTAATGGCAATTGCAAATGGTATCCAGCAATTTCAATGTATAACAAAGATGATAAGGTCACACTGATCCCACCACCAGTCACATCGGTGCTCAACGTGAGTAACGATCTTTCTCAGAATTTGTCAACGCTCGAGTTGGTTGAAAAAATGCGTGACGTGTTGGCATATTTATCTCACGTTAATTCAAATTCATCTTCTTTGTCTATAAAACTTTTTGAAAAAGCCTTTGAAGAGTTTGACAGTTGGAGACGGGACAAAATTCTTTACCGTGAGATTTTGCTTGGACAGGTAATCGCAATCGATAAGAGCAAGTCCGCTACATTTAAATACGGACTAGCGTCTGGCGACACGGTGTTAACATCAAAGGGACAGTATACCGTTCTTGGAGAGTATCGTCATGAATTGTGGTACGAAATGGAAACCGAAGCAAACGCATTTCAATTTGGCGTCGTGTCTTGTCCTCAGCTTGCTTCCTGGAGCTTAAGTGCCTGTCGCAATATGTTAGATTCACCAGATATTTTTTCTATTCACCGCAAAATTGAGCACAAGATTGATTTATGTGACACAAACTCTGTCTCTAATGAGAACGATGTACCTGCAGGAGTAAGCGGTTCGCAATATGCAGTTTCTTTACAGTACTTCATTGACGCCCAAATCCAGTGGGACAAGAATAAGTTAAATGCTACAGAGGCTGACTCAAAATTGATCGCTGATCTTGACGCAATCAAGAATTCCAAAGGTACACTCTCGCTGTCATTTCATGATATCGCAACGTCTCACGCTATGAAGAAAAAGTATGGGAATTCAGAAGACTACCTGTTTATTCAGACAATCGCTCGCACTGGATTACTGTTGTACGTGAATCGATGCCTGTATAACATTGTACGCCTCGCAATTCCGAAAAACATATTTGCTACTTCGCTAGGGGTGTCCGAGACTTCGAAGACCACTGTGAACCGACCCAGTTCGGTTGCAAACGCCAACACATCAAACATAACCGAGTATCAGCAAGTATCACCTGTCGCAGCTCTGATGAACTCGCCACATTGGACATTAGACGATCCATCATCTTTCACTCGAAATTTTCATCAGGCAACAATCCTTCTCTTCTCATCCCAGAAAGACAACCTTATAAATGAAGAGCTACTCAGAACCGAAACTGTGAGTCAAGTGCAGGAAGGTAGTGCAGCCGCAGATTCCGGTAAGATTTTAAACATCCCAATCATCACGATTAAGAACCCCACCTCCGAAACGCTGCCCTTTTGGGAGTGTAACTCTGTGCTGCTAATGAAAAAACACCACACAAGTCTGCACTTGTCCACTAAATCATCAGTCTTCTTGCAATTGACAAAGCAACTGGCCGCACAAGATGCTTGGCAGTGGAGACGCACATCGTCGTTGTCATTCGAAGCAATCCCAATATTTTATGCGTTCCAGGTTCATGTAACGCAACATTCGAACGGGCCTTGCGCAGAAAATGGGCAGCATGATGATTCTAAAATAAATGATCTGAAGGAGCAAAATGAAAACGACGGCGAACAGCATCGGCTCCCCTCAAAGCAGACTGTCGACTATTTGAAATTGCTTGAAACTGCTGTTCGAGAGATCCAATCGCCCCGATTCCCACTTTTTGGCCCTGTACCGGGCTCAATGTCGCTTCGACTTGATGTTAATATTGACTTATTTTCCCCGTATGCGCTGGCGAAGAATAAAATTGAACGCTCACAATTATTACTTTGGTATTTCTGCTTCGGCCAAATTCTCGGAATTGCATGGAGAAGCAAAGTTCACTTACCATTACAGTTTCTCTCCACTACTTTTTGGGTTGAGCTTGTGACCCCTGTCGATTCTCCTACGTGTTCACCTTCTCAGATTCAAAGTGTGTCGATGCGTGCTATCCGCGATGGCCTATATTCCATTATTCCAAGTCAATGCATTGCGCTCTTAAGCGGAGACAATTCTAGTCTGAGATACTATCTTTCAGACTTGGATGTAAATTACTGCATTCAATTGGAGCGCCACACTACTTATTGTGTACCTCGTCAAAGCCATCACAACTTATTTTGGAAAGTTGTTAAAGCCTTCACGTCAGTAGAGCGCCGCATGCTGAAGCAGTTTTTGAATCTAGAGCGACAAAGAGACGCCCAGCAAACCAACCAAACCTCAGACTCAGACCGTTTCTCCACCTTTGTACTTGAAATTGCAGACGCTTTGGCCGACGGTCAGAATGATCCGGACTCGTGCTATCCTGTTGTTGTATCAATTCATCCGCAATCGACTCGTTTGCATCTACCAGCGTACTCCTCCGCACAAATATTGCACCACAAATTATTACTTGCTATGACTAGCACCGCGATCATGTAGCGCTACTGTAACATTCGTTATTCTCTTTGACCAAATGTGTGTAGCACCACATGCATGGTATGAGAACCAAGTTCCATGATTTAAACATTTGATTGCACTGAGCACAAAGCGTCAGTCTCCTTCTTTGTTCGCATACGCGCGTCAAGCGCCGCTCGACTGTTCATCGAATCTTCGTCACCAATAGTCAACGCGCGAGAACGTTTATTCGGAACACTAAGTACCCAGCCATGTCGACTGTCCTCGAAAACCAACATCAAAGCAAGAAATAGCACAGAAATTGCCAAACACAGCAACATTCGCATAACACTACAATAATCGCCCGTCTCATCGCGTAAGTATCCTACGATGAGGTTCCCGAACGTAGCACCAATCGCGTCGGTAATCTCTACGATACCAAACGCCGTACCAAAATTTTTACGACTAACTGAAGAGGGGATGGCAGCCATCAGCACCATGGGTGTGAATGACAAACAGATGGAAATGAGGCACATTGAAACGATTGGCGTTGTTTCCGTAAAAATCATCATAATGTAGGCCAAAACTGACAAAATAGCAGCTATGATTATAAGCACGATCCGTCCACCAAAATGATCGATAGCCAGACCAATGCATGGTGCAAAAACCACAAAAAGGTGCGAAAGGCTGCTCACTATGCCAGCTTTGACGATTGAATAGTGATATCGCTGGTACAGAAAGCTAGCACTGACATTTTGAAACAAATGAAACACATTAATAAAATTCACATGAAGCAGTGCAATGACCCAAAACATGCGCGAAAAGTTCTGCACGTTCTCATATGACATCTGCTTCGTCTGAGTGATCACCTTGGGACAACGACGCTTTTGACGTTTTTTATCGACATAATCCGTGAGCCAATGTAGATTCGGATCCAAGGCTTCCTCGCTAATAACGCGGCATTTAACAATGCACTTGAGCTTTTGTGTATAATGACAGACTAGAACACCAACAAAAGTCGATGCCACACAAACAGCCACTCCGCACCATAGCGCTTGCACGTACCCACCAAAATATAGCGCAATGGGTGCCACTGTGGCTTTTGCAAGCATCTTTGAGATGTTGGTAATGGCTACACTGACACCCATAGCAAACGTGAGCTCAGTATTTCGGAACCAAGAGGCGATAAAAACCCTCGCTCCGACAACGACGCTACCTGCACCCACACCAAAGAAAACGCGGCCAAAGAGCGCAAGCCAATAAAGTCGAAGCTGCATGCCAAGCGCAAAGATGGCCTGCCCGACGCAGATCCAAGCCAAAAAGAAACGGATGCTGTGGTAGCCACTCTTGTCCATAAGGCGACCTCCTACCAGTGGTAAAAACATACTAGGCACCGACACGGCCGATAGCAGTGCACCATACATGGTGTTAGAGATTGGAAATTCCTTGTCATCCAGCATAAGCTGCTCCAAAGAAGACATGCCATTTTTAACAAAGTGTTCACCAAACGGAATGCAGCTCATAAGGATAAGAAGGTAGAATCGATGAGGCGACGAAGTGGTGCGCCAGAACTGCCACGAAGGTGCACGGCACAGCGGAGAGCGCGCGTGATAAAGCTCACTTCTGTCGTCATGCTCTGACGTACCAAATGGGTCGGAAACTAGTCGTGTGTGCTCTGTCGGCTCGACGAATCGCTTTGGCTGCTGTGCCATGGCTCAACTGGCAAAAGTGTAGACGATTGATAACCGATTGTGTTATCGATTTGCTGGCACCACACACCTGAACCCACTTTAACCGATTTTGACGGGAAACATCATATTGCAGGCCCTTACACATAAGTAATTGAGAATATAGGCTAACCATAGGTGCATCAAACTTCAGAGCCATATGGCACGTGCATTGCTCCAATCAGAATCTTGAAGACGGTTTTCTGTTCCGCCCTAGTCATACATAAATTCTGACAGGTAATCATGTACAAAGTTTGTGATGTTGTGTTTAAGAAGTAATGACTTCACAAAACTTCTAAAAGTCTAAATTGTCCTTTTTCTAAATCATTTTCTTGTACCATATAACTATCAAAAATTAAAGGTTCATCTGAAAA